GAGGGGTGGAGGGTGTCAGGTTTGGTGACAGGAGGATCTCGTCCCTGCTATTTGTGGATGACGTGGTCCTCCTAGCTCCATCGAACAGTGACCTCCAGCTCTCGCTGGGACGGTTCGCAGCCGAGTGTGAAGCGGCTGGGATGAGAATCAGCACCTCCAAGTCTGAGGCCATGGTCCTCAGCCGGAAAAGGGTGGATTGCCCACTCCAGGTCAGGGGGGAGGTCCTGCCTCAGGTGGAGGAGTTTAAGTACCTCGGGATCTTGTTCACGAGTGAGGGTAGGATGGAGCGGGAGATTGACAGGCGGATTGGGGCGGCGTCAGCAGTGATTCTGACACTTAACCGGTCCGTTGTGGTGAAAAGGGAGCTTAGCCAGAAAGCGAAGCTTTCGATTTACCGGTCGATCTACGTTCCAACCCTCACCTATGGTCATGAGCTCTGGGTAGTGACCGAAAGAACGAGATCGCGAGTACAAGCGGCAGAAATGAGTTTCCTCCGCAGGGTGGCTGGGCTCAGCCTTAGAGATAGAGTGAGGAGCTCGGACATCCGGGAGGGACTCGGAATAGAGGCGCTGCTCCTCCACATCGAGAGGAGCCAGTTGAGGTGGTTCGGGCATCTGGTAAGGATGCCTCCCGGACGCCTCCCTTGGGAGGTATTTCGGGCATGTCCAACCGGGAGGAGACCTCGGGGCCTCCCCAGGACACGCTGGAGGGATTACATCGCCCGGCTGGCCTGGGAATGCCTCGGGGTTCCCGCGGAAGAGCTGACGGAGGTGGCTGGGGAGAGGACTGTCTGGGCTTCTTTGCTGAGGCTGCTGCCCCCGCGACCCGGACCCGGATAAGCGGAGGATGACGAGACGAGACGAGACGAGACGAGACAAGATGAGACGAGATTTTGTGCCTATATTAAAGAGAATTAAATTGGATTGCTATTTTCATGGCCAAATATGGAACACATATCAGTAAAGGAGCCTTCAGTTTAAAAAGAAACATTTAATTGTGCACATTTGTATATGTTACGCCCCGGTCTAGGGGTGTGGGCGTGAAACATAAGGACACACAGGAACACAGGAGTAAATGTACAGGTAAGCAATTTATTGCTACACACTCCAAAAACACACTGTACAATATCGCACACAAAATGGAGCAAAAGACGTCAGGGTGAACCCAGGCCAAAACAACAAACAAAAAGCAACCTGTCTACCGACCGGCAAAATAACTGATTCCTAACAAAAACAAAAGAAACAAAAATACAATACTAGGCCTAACTCCCTAGGCTAACGAAAAACATGAGAAAACAGGTATAACAAAAGTAGCAGCTCACCCCTACGCTCCGTGCAAATAATAATATGTGACAGTGACTATTTACAATAAACACAAACGACTCAGTTGGCTCTAAGGCGCGGGTCTGAACAAAAGAAACAATTATTTAGCAAGGCAAGCTAAATAATCACACGATAGTCACACAACAAAGTACTTATAAATCACAAAAAAAACAGAGAAACGATACGATGTGCTACCGCCATGTAGGAGAGTGGTCTCGCGGCTTCCGTGTGGCTGGCATTATGAAGGCCGAGCCCCTTGCTCAACCAATCCGGCAGCGGTGACGTCACGCTCGTTATCCAGTAGCTGTTGACACTGAAGGCCAAACCCCTTGCTCAGCCAATCTAGCCATAGCGACGTCACGATCATTGAGCGAATCACCGGCACACCTGTTAACAAGCAAACGATCTCCGGACAGAAAGAGAAGTCTGACTCTCCACTAAACATACAGGTTAAATGCATATACATAGAAATATACATATACACATAATAAATACACAGATCAGATAAATATACATATACACATAATGAATACACGGGCCGAGGGACGTAACACCCCCCTGCCTAAATGAACAACATCCCCTAAGATGTTTGTTCACAGAACATAATTACACACGCGAAAGGGCATCAGCTAACACATTATCTGTACCCTTCTTATGGTGGATCTCCAGATTGAAATCTTGTACTAACAAGGACCACCTCATTAACCACTGATTGGCATTTTGCATGCGGTTCAGGAAAACGAGAGGGTTGTGGTCGGTGTACACGACAACAGGTAACGGACTGGAACCAATGTACACTTCAAAGAGCGAGCAGCAAAGAAAGAGCCTCCTTCTCGACCGTGCTGTAATTGAGCTGGGCAGCACTGAACTTTT